TTGGGGGGGGGGGCAGTCTACTCATACAGCAGAAAGAACTTTCCACCAGTCAGTCCCAGAGCCTCCCTGGATTCTTGCTGTGTCCCCAGGAAGCTTATTTCCGTTGCTATACAATACATCGGGGGCACTGTCCCAAGTCCTCCATGCGGTCCAAGGAATGTTCTTCACCCATTCACGAGGTTCCTATGACTAACTGCAGTGAGCCAGTTATGTACAAAAAGATCTTAGCAAAAGCCACAGTGACAGCAGTTCTAGGTGGAAACTGGAGCAGCCGACGTGAAAAGGCAAACTACCAGAAAAAGTACTGTGGCCAACCCTGACGCCCGCGTTGTGTGTTCTTGGCCAAGACACCAAGAGTGTTCTCCCCCGTGAGGGAGACGGACGGCACTCACGAGCTATGGTCAGCAGCACATGGGCTTGTCTTCAGGTAAGAAATGCCAACACGAGGATGGTTCGGGTGCCAGTCTGATTTCCACACCACCTGGATTATTTATGGAGAAGATGGCCTTCAAAAGTATTAAGAGGAAGAAGAGTTGCCCTGAGAATTCCGCTTTACACCCAGGCACGGTCTGAAGTTCAGAACTGTCTCCCCAAACAACACAACAAACGGGATATTCCTCCTCCCACCCCTACCTCAAGAGCGGTCTTCCCATTAGGCACATGGGCTCTGTGCCTACTCATTGCCAGGGACAGAAAGTCACCGCTTTTCTGTGATCTAGTTCTCAGTGTTTAAAAGCTGGTGTGATCCTGCCCCCACCGGGGAAGAGCTGCTCGTCTGGCTAAGACGATGACGTCTCCCATCCCCCCTCAATGCCAATTTCGTATTTTACTCCAAAGGAATACGTGCCAAAATGGAGACACTGCCTTGCAATGACTTCTTTTGCATCAACAGACTTTAACTGTTTATTCCAACCACTTCTTCCTCCTCACAGTGGAAAGGCAGCTGTCTCTACCATCCTACGGTATTGAATCCTTCCCTCCATTCTCCAAGCTAGAAAGGCAAACACTGGTTAACAAAAAAACAAAACAATTCACTTCTTATGGAAATAACCAAGGTGAGTGCAAAATATCGTTTTATTTGGGGCCCATTTTTTTTTTTAAAGCAGCACAGAAATTCTGATTTTGTGATTGCTTTGTATCACAGACTCTGCTGTTTTTAGAAGGGCCGAGGGAAGAAGGCACTCTACAAAATTAGTTACTAGTTATATTTTCTAACCCAAGGCAACAGTGAGTTCTCTTACTACCAACAACTAAAATCCAGACACGAACAATTGTCACTGACATCAAAGAGGGTGCCAATAGCCTGATCCTGGTCACAAAAGGAAAAAAAAGAAAATCCACTATGCGACAGAGAAAGACTCTAAAAGAAGCAGTGACTCCTTTTTTAAAGCCACCATTACTTGGGACTGTTGTTTCCAAGCAAGGAAAACAAACAGTTTTTCTCCCTATGTAGGAAAGGAAACATTTTCATTTGTATGAGTGGAAAATGGAAAAATAGGCAACCTTGCAATTCTTCTAAATGACATAAAAAGGAATGACTTGCCATCATCATCCAACTCTGAAGCCAGTTTCTCCTCCTCGGTCTGCTAAAGCTACCATTAAGATTCTCTCAAAGTTTTAGGTTATCAAAGTACCACTTTGTATTACACAACATGCGACAGTGTTTGGATGTGGTTTTCACAGGTTCTCGTAATATAAAGCACTCTTTGGTGGAAGACGAGCAGCTTGGGTACTTTAACGGGGTTAACATGACAACAGTATGACAAACAGTCAAGTGAAGATGAACTACACCAAATAGTATCAAATTACAGAAAGTACCGTTCAGTAATGCCTGTTTTGTCTTATAAACTTTGACACAGAGTGAACAGAAAATAAATACGTAAAAAACCTCCATCAGATCCTCAATTCTTCTGAAGGCCAGCAGCTAAAATGATTGTCATCACATGGACACACATGTGCCACACACTGGCCAGCTCTCTTGAGAACAGAGGGCATGGATATGTACACCTGAGACTCAATTTACAACAGATTCTTTTGTTGTTACACTCGAGATAATTCTGGAAAGGAGTTGGGCCCTTCTTCAAGTCAATCGCTTGCACCCAGACTCAGTGATTATAACGCCGGTGGACAGTTTCTTCGTCGAATATACTTCTTAGGTGGAAAGCAACTAAGGCTTTTGCAACTGTGTTTGGTTTTCAAATCAATTGTGCTAGGTCCTGTCGTTGTCTTCCATTCTAGAGTCTTCCTTCAGTTCCGGTCGTGGGTTTTTACTTAACGCAAGACAGTTTTAGTCCGTGAAACGGAGGGACTATAAGGAGGCAAAGAAACAGGATTTTACCACAAAGGTTTTCAAGCATCTGCAAGCAGTTCTCAAAGACAAGGAAGGCGACATAATACAAATAGTGACATGCTAAAAAGTGAATACTATGTAGAGTTTTTTAATGACAAGTACTTTGAGAAGACAGTACAATATCAACCATAAAGTAAAGACACACAGGAGAGAAAGGTAGAGTGGAAAAATGTTCAGGTCTGCAAAAGAAAAGAAAAAAAATAAAGAAATGAATAAAAAAAATTAAGTAAAAAAGGACAAACAAATGAAGAAAGACGGTGGGCGAGGGCAGCAGAGCAATGCGAGTACCATAACGCCACCAGGGGCATTTGCTGCAAAGCACTCCGCTTCCTCCTTTCTCTCTGAGGAACCAGGCTGTGGGCGAAGTGGGAGGAAGGAAAGACAAGGCAGCATTACTGGAGTATTTCTAAAGCTAGCATATCACAGAAAAAGCTCTGGCACCTCAAGCAGTTTCCAGCTCCCCGCACAGAAGGCGCCCTGGCCAGGCCCTGCCTTCCCCAATGTCTGCAAGGGGACTGCCCAGGACACGGCAGGGACCCTCCGGGACCCTGTTCTGCTTGTGAAAAATTGACCAGACTCGCGCCCTGCCCAGGACCCTGTTCTGTGTAACTGTCCAGGATACACACCCTGCCTCCCCGATTTACTTTGTTACTTTCAACTCAGCAGCAAGATGGCAAAAGAGTCAGGAAAATCACCTCCGAACTGGAGGTGGCCCTCTCGGGGAGGATGTGCTGTTCTACCAGAGAGGGCTTGTTGGAACTGATCACCCAGCTTCCAGAGACACCGGCAGGGTACGGAGGGCCAGGTCAGCTGATGAAGTCGTGTGGGAACAGACCTGGAATTTTAAAGGGCCACGGACATCTTCAAGGACGCAACCAGCATTTTAAAAAAGAACAGCGAGAGAGACAGCATCCTGGGGTCTTACGCTGATGAGCTTTGGGAGAAAATGGCGGCAACGGCACGGGCACCCAGAGGAGCCTCAGAGGGTCAAGCAGCAGTGGCAGGTATGAAGACGGTGACGTCACGGAGGAGACGGCTCAGGCCGTTAAGACCCAAAGGTGGCTACTTCCAGACAAAGGGCTCAGAAAGACACAGATGCCTTTCTAAGTGAAGAACCTGAGCATTTCTCTCCCCAGGACAGAAACGATCAGGGACAGAACAGCCCGCGGCTGTGGGCCGGGACCTGTACCAGTGATACCCCTTGGAATAAGAAAAGCCACTCATACACGACAGCAGTCTTATCACCAACAGAGAAGACACAACCTCTCCAAAGGAACGGCATCAGCGTGCAGAAGCACGCACTCTGGAGGAGCTGTGCAAAGGCGTGGACTGAAGTGAACGCCAGCCAACGAGGCTCAAGTTCTCAGTCGGAGACGGGATGAAATTTTCCAGACTCGTTCTAAGAGAGCTCTTCAGAGACCTATTGTCAGAATGCTAAGACAGGCCAGTTTGATCTAGCCACAGGGTTTATTAACATGTAAGAAAAAAGAAACACTGGGGCCAGCAGATGGAATATCATGACTCCCACATGGCCAACCACAGTTCGAGTCCCGGATCCGGTGGCTTGAAAATCACAGCAGGCACGTGTCCATGTGTGCCCAAGATCCTGGGAGAAGAATGGAGAGGGAACTGCAGTGTGACCATCGCTCCTGGGGGGTGATTTCTCCCTTTCTCTCTCAGTCTCTTACCCACCCCTAGCTCAAGCACCCTAAGGCAAAAACTTCTTAGAGAGAGAGAGAGAGAGAGAGAGAGAGACAGAGAAACATTAAAGGGCCAGTGGTACCCCCAAGGGAAGGCCCTGGGTTCAAGCCCCAGGTTCAAGCCCTAGGCATGCCATACTTCCAGGCAGGCTGAGATGGGGATGGGAGTAGGACATGGTGCAAGGGCCCTGCTGGGATGCCCATTTCTCTCGCTCTCTGAAGGATGGAGCAAATAAACTTAAGAAAGAAAAGCCTATGGGTTTATAACTCTAACAGGAAGTGAGGCCTACAGGCCTCTGAATTTCCCTCTTCGGCTTTGAGCAAGGGGATGACAAGGTGCCACCTGAGCCCAGGCAGCTCTGAGAGTCAAGCCTCAAGGTCACCGGGCCACACCTCCCTGGCTCACTGTGCCTGCACTGCCGTGGCTCGGCCAGGGCAGCCTTCTCATGAGACTTGGGTGGGGATGCGGCTCGTGTTCCAATGGACGCAGAAGGGACTAAGCCTCGGCCAGGAGGAACACAGTGGCCCTGCCGTATGGCCATGCTCCTATTTTTTCACCCCCACCCGCTCTTCTGACATTTGTGAAAAAGTTCTCCAAAGCTGAAGAGCCTCTCAGTAAACGCAAAAACCAAAAGGGCCAAAGCAGTGCGAAGTGAGCTGAGGTGGGGTCTGCATCCAGGAGGCCCTAGGAATAGAACAGAGTATGTACGTGAAAGCTTCCTTGCCCACCACCACTGGGAGGATGGTGCCGGGGAGCAACGTCGACCTGCAGGAGAGAGAAGACCTCACAAATGGGACGGCAGAGCGGCCGGCCAGCCCTGTGTCCCCGAGGTACGAAGAAAGCGCACAGAAAGGACCTATGCTTTTGTAAAGCTGATTAAAGAAAAGACTTCAACTCAATACATTACTCAGCGATTTAGTGCCAGCAGGTGGTGTGGTGCTTAAGGAGCTGGACTCTCACCTGGCCGACCACAGTTGGAGTCTGGGACCTGGCAGCTTGAAAATCATGCCGCGCACGCACCCTAAATCCTGAGAGGAGAATGGAAGAGAAGGGATTGTGGCATGGCCATCCCCCCGGGGGGTGATTTCTCAAGTTATCTTCCTCTGACGAGTGCTCACATCTTAAGGCAGAAAAACCCCAAAAAACCAAAAACCCCAAACTCAACAACTTTAGCTCATACTATTTTTCTCAGAAACAGATTATGCACCAATGCTAATCCCCTCCTTACCCTCCAAGCACAGATATGTAACATTCCAAGGTGCAGCGTGGCTGCCTCCAATTCCCACTATTTCCTAGACGCAGGGGTGGAGAGCGAGACATAAAGTTAGCCCGCCCTTCTGGGTTTTTCGGTGAGCGGTAGGTGGGCAATAGTGAAGGTGGTGTGAAGACAGCCCAAAGCCACGGAAGAAGCAAAACCGAAACGCGTAGGCCTGCTTAGAGGAAGGTGGGTAATTGAATCACAAAGACCAAGGATCTCTCACCATTCGGCTTCGGAGCCCCCCCAAGCACCTCTGAAAACCCATCTGAAAATAAGACCTCCCTCAGGTTTTCAGCACTATCCTCCAATCCTGGAAAAAGCTGCTTTGGGCCGTTTCAATAGTCAGTCCTGCTTATCCAGTCCAAAATCTGCTTCGGCACCCTGACGGCAGCCCGTGCAGGGACCCTCGGTAGATGCTCACGCAGACAGGAAGCACGAGTGTAGGTCACCTGAGTGACACCAAAGAGCAGAAAGACCTAGATGGAAAAACGGACTCCCGGCCGACCCTCCTGAAAGGAATACAGCACGACTTGGCTGGCTCGATGCGGGCTCCTAGACTCTAATCCTCTGTGACCCAGAGAGCACAGTCCAAAACACGAAGCCAGGATTAAAGGGCAGGGAACGCGAGGCTGAGCAGGAAGCCTGAACACGCTGATACCTAAAAAGAGCACGTCCGTTCAGAACACCTCAGATCTACCGCCAGCGGTAACCTTCGCATTCGGATTTTCAACAGTTCGACTCACCTAAAAAGGCTGACGTTTAAAACATTCCCATATTTCCCTCATTTATCATAAAAAAGGAAAATAAGAAAATGATTAAAGAGAAGAAAAAAGATCCTAGGCAGCCCCACCCACCAGAGGGAAGAACTGTTAGTATCCTGCCATGTTTTTCCTGTCTTATTTCCATACACGTACGGACTGTCCGCATCTATAAATGATTACGTGCCTGCATTTAAACAGCTATACACGTGCGTGTATATGGCAATACTTAAGAGTAGTAGTTCAGAATTTCTGTGTGCGGCTCTTCTAACGCGTTGCTTCTATGTGTTTGTCCGAGTCATTAAATTTTTAAAAAAAACCATAATTCTCAATTCATGCAACATAATTCAGTAATCTTTATTCAGCCCATTTCCTATTTCTCGCTCACTAACCACACTCACATGGTACGTCGTAACGCACCTCCCTCTCTGACCTCTTGTTGGGATTTCTGATATTCTTTTCAAATGGATTCAGGGTAGAGTGTGAGTATTTGATACATGTCTCATGAAAACGTTCACATCCTAAAATCAGGAGTCGGTGTCTAGCAATTCTCAAATACCCACGCTGGTGCACTGTCCCATACTCCGTGAGTGTAAGCATATGAAGAAGCTGCACAGCAGATTCAGTGAGAAGGAAAATAATGACACAACAGAACAAGCCCTTGAAATGCAAACCACACAGCACCCTCTGGCTTGTCAAGGTCACTCAGGACAGGCTGTGCCTGCGCCTGGGCATTCGGGGACTGACTCCACACCGATGATCAGGCGCATGGCCCCGAGGCCCAAGAGACGAAGCTGGGAGAACCGTGCAGGACATTTTAAAGGCTGGCTCTGATGATCCTCGGGCCCTCACGGTCTGTGGTAAGAGGTCGTTTATCACAAGCACAGAGCCAGGACCGCACAGGCTGGCAGCGCTACACGAAGACACACAGAACTCATGTCACGCCGTAGGTGGGGTATCTACTCATGGGATGTTTTTGGAAAACTTTAACAATAAAATGTCCACACTTTAGTTCATGGTACCTCTCCAGAGGCAACAGCGAGTCCTAGGTTTGGCCACTGTCCCGCCAGAATCTACACTTAATGAAGGAAGTGCAGGTGCTGAGGTCGAAGTGAAAGAACCGGCACCTCTGGGTGTGGGCCAGCCAGGAGGACAGCCAGGAGGTAACGAGGCTCCCACAGCTCATCGATCACATCTCCATCGGGCTGACCTGCGGCTAACCTGCCGGCAGATACACTGCGACTAATACACGGATAGAGATTTCCTCCAAAGCCGGACACGGAACTTTGGAAAGTCTCCATTTATAACTTGTAAAGAACAACATTCCCATGTTAGGACCCAGAGACCACACTCCGTGTTGAGAATTACCTCTGAAAAGCAAAACAAAACAAAAGCCTGCATTAAATTGATCCGGATTTTCTTCTAAGATGGACAGGGAAAACAGATTTGCTCAACTGCCCATCCTAGGGATGCTCTGTTCTCCTATCTTCACGTCAACCTCCAGGAGCAGGATCCGAAAGGTTTAACTGGAAAACCAATGCTTGTGACCTTGCAGGAGAGGAGAACACTTTTCTCACCTTTTAAAACTGCTTTTCCTTGAAGCAGATCGGGTGGTTCGTTTAGTAATGCCTGCACTGCCAGAAATGTGAGGTTCAGATGTTTTACAGCTCTGAACACTGGACTGTAGAATTACTCTGAAAACAGTTGGAAAAAATAAGATTACAGTCACTGAAACCATTTTCAAGTACTTGACAGAGGAAGGCACTTTTGCACTTCGGTACAAATTGTTTTACTGGGAATTAACGGGGTTTTCCATAAACGCTTTTGCCCAAAAAGACTAAAACACATTTTTACATCTAGGCCTTTTGAAGTGAAGCAGCTCATTCCCCTTTGAGGGTTACATAAAGATAACCAGAATGCTCTGCTTTTAGAAAACAAATGACCTGGTATTTTAAGCAATTCCCACACCAAAGAAATCTATCAGCCAAACAAATCTCTGGGCCCCAAAATAAAAGAAAACTCTCATATTTCTAGTCATGAAAGCAAAACATCACTAAGAAACCCAAAACTCTAAAGAACATGAATTTAGGAACTATTTACACAGTATGAGCTCTTCAGAACTGGAAGTACGGGTAATAATCACAAAATCAATACTAATTTTAGATAACCACATAAACACATGTTTATATGTATCAACTCGGGGGCCAGATGTTGCACGGTGGTTGTGCAACCGGACCACATGGGGAAGGTCCTGGGTTTGCCTCTGGGACCTCCCTCAGCACACCAGTTCACGTATGTGCCACTGTTCGGCGTCAGCTAAGACCGGGGTGTCTAGCACTGTGGAGACCCTGGGGGTGCCTGTCTTCTATCTCTTGACAATAAACCAATAAATAAACGTAAATAAAGAAGAACAGTACCTAGCTCCTAAGAGTGAAAAGAGGCCATGACAGTTAAGGAATAGGCCTACCTCACAGGCCTGTGTTACCACCAAAACCAGGCAAAGTGAGCTCAGATGAGTACATTCCCATCATCTTCTCATTACCCAAACCAAAGCTCAAACATGGATAGTAACAGGGCCAACAGGTGGCATGGTTAAAGATGCTGGATTCCCACATGGCTGACCATGGTTCAAGTCCTGGTCCTGGCAGCTTGCTTTTCTCACTTTCCCTTTCTCTCTGTCTCTGTCTGATAAAATTACAAATAATAATAACAAATGAAATTAAACAATTCTTAAAGGAAAACTAATATAGAGTAATCAAATGCTAAAAAAGGCATTGGGTGTTGCTGTAACAAATAGCCCGGAGCTCGCTCGGTCAGCGGCTTCTAGTAGTTAGCAGAAGAGAAGGGAAGGGGCCGCCCCACAGAGAGACTAACCCTGAGGAGTGAGCTGGGGCCTCACTCAGCATTCCTCAGGGACTCTGACCACCCGAAATGAACGCTCTGAAAAACTAGAACAAGTATTTGCAGATCAAAGACGGAGCTCACTGGCCCGGCTTATGAACTCTGTTCTGAAAACATGGACTTAAACATTCTTCCTGAATATGGAACGTGAGGGGAAATATTTACTCGTCCCTGATAATGATTTGACAATAGAATTCTGCACGAAGACGGCGCTGCTACTTACGGAGCCCGGGCTCAGACCGGGTGCTGTCCGGGGTTCGCAACCTCCTCACAGGGAGGGAACAGGCTCCTGAGTTTTCAAAATACACACCACACCCATTTCCCAAATAACTCGAGGCCACAAAAGGACGGGCAACTACCACACCGTAAAAGCATTAATGTGAGGAAAAAAGGCCGGTAGTGGCTCATTTAAGAAATTTAAGTCCAGATTCCTTGAATTATTCATGAAATGCTTAAATACTATTCAAAACAAGAACTGACTACTAAATCAAGCAGTTTATTCTTGGGCTCATAGAAATTAAGAAACTATCTTCTAGGAAGAATTTCTTTCTCGGGGCCAGCAGGTGGTGTGGTAGTCAAGGCGTCGCACTCACACGCATGACCGCAGCTCGAATATCACCCCGGGCACGTGTGCGTGCCTCCTCGAAATCCCATGAGGAGGACGGAAGAGAAGGGATTGTGTTGTGGCCATCCCCCCGGGAGGTGACTTCTCATCTTCCCTCTCATTGCTTCTCTGTCTCTCTCCAGTGAGCACAGGTGCCTTATGGCAAACACCTTAAAAAAAAGTATTTCTCTAATTTCTCTATAAAATTAGTGTAAATTAATGTGAAATAATAATAATAGCTAATAAATTTCTGTGGGGTTTTTAAGAGAAAGATAGACATTTAGAATGCACTGATCACAGCAGGGGCGGTTCCAGTTACGGGCACTGACAACCATCAACTCTCTCTGATACACCAACGCGAGGGGGAAGGATCCCAGCAGCCACACGTACATTATTACTAGCAAGAGCCTACAGTGGCCGGGCTAAACTGGCACGAGTGAGGCATTCACCGTGCCACGGAGAACCTGCTGCCTGCCACCTTCCAACCCAGGCCAACGGCACAGCTTTTCTCAGGGCATGGTCAGGATATGCGTTTTTCTCCTTTCTATTGTTCCTGACCAACCCCTTGGTCCTACTTGTCCCGTGTCTGGACTGTTCACTTTTTCTCTGCAGTACCAGTACCTGTTCTCCTCTATGCTGGAGACGCTGAGATCTGCAACTCGAGGCGCACAGCAAAGTGACAAACTGGAAAGCCAGGGCTTGTACCTACTGGGCCCCAAAACATGAATGTCTCAGTCTCAAAGAGAGTCCATCGGGGCAACCACACACTGTTTACACTGGCTGTCCGTCGAGGCACAGACGGCACTTGCAAAATGACAGCCTGGGCCCCACCACCTCCAGAGGGGCCTGGTTCACCGCCCCAGGGTCTGACACAGCAATGCGAAGCGGTTAGAGTTTGAGTCCAGGCCTGCCAGGTCGTGGTGCTTTTCAAGGTAAAAACCTATCAGGTGGTGCTCCACAATTTGCCAAAAGAGGTGAAGAGGGTGCATGTGAGTAGTCACCTGGAGAAAGAAACCCTCCTGAAATAAAGTACCAGGGGAGGGAGGGACGATGTAGATTTTACTTGTTAACAACACTGTAACCGCCAGATGTATGCTTCCGTAGATTCCAAACTTTCTGGGTCTAGGCATGCAGTGGCAAATATCAGTAACGACAACCACAGAAGGTTCTAGCATCCTGACAAAGAGCCTGATAAAGATCATGTTTAAACTTACCCCGGGAATGGTTCACCACAAAATGCCTAGGTGCTGTTACAACACCTGCACCTAGTCAGAACTCCGCCCACTCCAAATACCTCTGCCACATGCAATAGTTTGAGCTGAATAAAATCTGGGCAGTACAGGATGCTCTGGAGTCAAAATAATGTGGACATCAAAGCTTACTGAGAGAAGTAAAGGGAACAACACCTACAAGGTTTATCTATTTCAAAACTATAGCACATCCAAATGTGGTAATAGGCTTGTAGTAACAAGATATATTCAAGAAAATGCATACATAAGAGTACGTGAAGCAGGGTTTCCTTAATCCTGAGAAGAGGGGAATCTGCTTGATTTTTATAGCTTCCTTAGCCATCTGAAAACACTCAATGAAACCACAAAGTACCAGAGTTGGTTGCAATGGAAATTTACTTTGGAAGAGATCCTAGAAGAACTCTTGCATTCTTTTATAACTTCCAAGTCCAAGTTGGGACAAGAGACAACTGAAATAGGAGTTAAAAATAAAGTTTCAGAGAAAAGAGAATGCAGCCCAGACCTAGGAGCATGGCGGCAAGCCTCGGTGTCCCGGGACACGCCCTCCCTCTGAGCTCTGGGTTGCAACAACATTGGAGTCTGAGTTAGTTTCCTCCCAGTTCTTCTCCAGAAAAGAAGCCTCTTCACTGTGAAGGCATTCATTTCTGAGATGAACGACCAAGAGAACACAAATTTGACTTTGTTAACCTAATAAAGACCTCTGGTTGTTTCTGGAACGGTGACAGCACAGTGGCCGTCGAATGGAGACACTGACGCGAATAGGCGCACCAGTCTTCTCTGCCTTCCGGCTTTCATTGTGTTTTGAACACTGTACCTAAGGGGGAGGAAATGAAATGAGACAGAGGAGAAAATTCTGCACACCAAAGACAAAGACTTGGGGTGGCAGAGTCAGAGGTGACTCAGGGTGCCAACTTCGCTAGACCTTCAAGGCTGGAAAACCTGTCTACCGAACGCAGATCGGTGGGACAAATTCTTCGCTAGACTGGAGAGGACACACTGAAGAGAGAGAAAACCAGAGGGAAGTTGCAGGGAGAAAAATGGAAGAAAACCTCCCCAATGATCCCCAAAGAAGGCAGTATTTCGATAAGGAAGAGAAATGATTTCAGTACACATTATTGACACATTGCTCTTTCAAAGTATTTGTTGAGAGTAAGCACGACTTAAAAATAAGGCATGTTATTTTTAATATCCCTTCCGCAAAAGGAATAGGGAAGCCCTCCCTCTCCGCCGCCATCCCATGAATCGAAAAGATTCAGGAAAAGAACCTTGGAAAACAGGCGGACCAGCCAGGCTAGGAGAGCTGCCCAGGACAGAGACATGCATTGGAGAGCAGACTGGACAGCAGGAGGAGGGGACAGTGGAGGAATGGCAGGGGACACTTACACAGCAGCTATCTGTCAAAGGGTCCTGAGGGCTACTGTGTGCCGAGACCATCGAGACAGAATAGCAGGATGGGGAGGATGTAGTCACACACAATCCACCAGATGACAACACTACACAGCGCAGAGGCCAGCACAGCTAGGGGACATCTGGAAAGGGGCGAAGGGGAAAGAACAGATGTTCACATCGGGAAGCCAAAATAAATGACGTAATACATAGACAAATAAAGCTACATGTGCATTTTCGACACTCTAAAGGCCCACATGGCAGCTGGGTGCAGAGGGCAGGTGACAAGGATGGGGTTTTGCCGTTTTATGTTCAGAAGGAAAAAAACCTGCTGTCTTCAGTTTAAAAAGGTTTGACCCTGAGGAACAAGAGGTTATCTACGAGCTCTGGCTGGGTACTGCCCCACGTTAACTTCGCTTTATGATTCGGAAATCGGTGGCAGTTCAGCAACTGAGGTTCTTCCAAAAGCAAAAGATGTGCACGCACAGAAAATTAAACCAAATACCTTGGAGAAAAAGGAGGCAAAAGCAAACAACCTCCTCACCCCCAAAAGAGTCCTAGACCACTCAGGTAGAACACAGGGGCACGACTGTGCATGAGCACGGCACCCCTGGGCTCATGAAATGAAGTCCTGTTCGAACTCAACCTCCTCACCCCCAAAAGAGTCCTAGACCACTCAGGTAGAACACAGGGGCACGACTGTGCATGAGCACAGCACGGCAGCCCTGGGCTCATGAAATGAAGTCCTATTCGAACTCCTGAATCGTCCGAGAGCTGAGGGGAACTGCCAGATCCACCTGGACAACATGGATGACAGAAGCAAATCTAGCCCCAGCAACATGAAATGAGCAAATCTTCATTTATGTTTTCATACTGTGTGTTTTTCCTGGGCTGCTGGGCTGTTTTCCTCATGCAATCCCTACCGGCACTAAGTCTGGCATTTTTCTTCCTTCCTTCCTTCCTTCCTTCCTCTAGCTCTCTCTCTCTCTCTTTCCTTTCCTTTCTTTCTTTTTTGCCATAGGGTGCATGCAAAAGAGAAACAGAGACAGACCAGGAAAGTGAGACATCAACCCCTGGAAGGACAGCCATGTACAGTCCCTTCTGCATTCTCCTCTCAGGATTCTGGGCATGAACACGTATATACCACGCATGATTTGCAAGCCACCAGGGTTGGGACTTGAACCACCGTCAGCCATGTGGGAATCTAGCACCTTAACCACCACGCCACCTGCTTGGTGTCTCCTAATCCACTCTCCTGGTTCCAGCAGTGAGGAAGGAAATCTTGCATCTGTGAGGGTGCTAACTCCTTCCAACCACTGGCACTTCCAAACGGTCACCTGAACACATGTGACCCAATACAAAGGGTCTCTCTCGTATGCAACTGTGAAACTGAGCAGGGGGCCTCTGAAAGACCTTGGGTCCCAGTTGACAAAAAAGAAATGGAAATTTCCCAAACTGAAAATTATTGAGGGTTGGATTTTAAGTAAAGCTGCATTCTAAGCTGCTTGGGACATGAAGTCCATTTCAAATTTTTTTGGAGAGGTTTTTGCTATAGGGCGCGTGCACTCGCCAGAGAGACAGAAACACAGAGACAGAAAGTGAGAAATCACCCCTCAGGGATGGCCATGCCGCAATGCCTCCTCCTCCATTCTCCTCTTGGGATCTGGGCACGCACGCACAGGCACCCAGTGTGAGTTTAAGCCACCGGGTCTGAGACTTGAACCATGGTCAACTACATGGGAGCCCAGTGACATAGCCATTACGCTAACTGCTGGTCCCACAGTCCATTTCAATTTTAATGGCCGAAAAAAGTAAGGCTTGAGACTCCAAACTTTCGTTATACCTGTCCCAGGTCCACGATATTGATGTTTTTTTTACAAGATGTGATACCTGCAATGGGCCAGCAGGTGGCATGGTAGTTAAGGCAAAGGATCCCACGTGGCCAACTCCGTGCTGTGAGTCCAGGACCTGGCAACTTGAGAAACACACCAGGCTCATGTGCGTGTCTGCCCCAATCCCAACAGAAGAATGGAGGAAAAGGGACTGCAGTCCAGCCATTCTCCCACTCCCCAGGGGGTGTTTTCTCACTTTCCCTCTCTCTTTGGCTCTCTCTCCAGTGAGCACACATGCCCTATGGCAAAAATCTAAAAGAACAGACATGAAACCCACAAGATGGAAATTGACTACCTAAGGTCCCATCAGTCAGGAAAGCCCATGAGACATCCTGAAGCCCTCTTAAAGCAGTCACTGAGTTAATCATGGACCTGAGACTCTACCCTTCATTTTGCACTTAAAAATGCATGTGCAAAGGACCAGCAGGTGGCAGAGTGGTTAAGGTGTTGGGCTCCTATATGGCCTACTGCAGTTTGAGTCCTGGACCCAGAGGCTTGAAACTCAAGCTAGGCTTGTGTGCATGTGTGTCCAAACCCCAAGAGGAGAATGGATGGAGAAGGAACTGTGGCGTGACCACTCTCCCTGGAGGGTGATCTCTCACTTTCTCTGTTTCCAGTTGAGTGCACCTGCCCTATAGCAGACAAACAAGCATGTGTGGAACATCTCCAGGAGACCAGGCTTGCCCAGCAGTAGCTCCCCGCTCCCCTCTGCTCTGCAGTGGAGACAAGCCTGTCTTTCCTCCATTACCCTGTGTCTACAGTTTGGTATGTGACGCTTGGGTGGGGGAACTTGGTTTGAGTTTAGTTTAGAACACTTGTGTGGAAAATGCTGGGTCGATCAAGTTGGACATAACTTCACTATTAACATTTTAAGAGCTATGTGGGGCCACCAGATGGCACAGTGATTAAGGCGCTGGATCCCAATCCCACATGGCCGACTGTGTGGTTTGAGTCCCAGATCCAGGAGCCTGAAAAACATGCTGGGCATGTGAGCGTGCGTGCCCAGTATCCAGAAAGGAAAATGGAAAAAAAAAGAGATTACGTGTGGCCATCCCTGGGGAAAGGGGAGGCGGTGGTTGCTCACTTTCCCCCTCACTGTCTCTCTTTAGAGAGCACATAAGCCCTATGACAAAAATCTTAAAACAGAGAGAGCGCGAGAGAGAGCGAGAGCGCGAGAGCTGTATGCCTGGCACTCCATGTAATGTTAAGAGAGAACACCAAACAGTGGATCCAAAATAAAACCAACCCCACCCCCTCACGTTATACCTACGCCAGCACACTCACTCTTCCCACCAGGAAGCAAATCTACTATGGGGAGGTATTCAAAAAGTTCATGGAAAATGCATTAGTATGAGAAAAATGATGCATGGATTTCAAATATTTTTTTTCCCACCAAATTAAACTTATACTTTAATTTCATTTTTCCATGGGCCTTCTGAACTCCCCTCATATACATATTAAGATTATAGGGACTTGGGGCCAGCAGGTGGAGTAGTGGTTGGGATGCTGGATCCCCAAATGGTCAACTGTGGTTTGAGTCCTGGACCTGGTGGCTTGAAACTCATGCCAGGCGTGTGTGTAAGCATGCTCAAGAGCCCGACTGGAGAACAGAGGAGAGGGGACTGTGGCATGGCCATCCCCCTGGAGGGTGACTTCTCAATTTCTGTCTCTCTCTTTTTTTTTTTTTTTGAGAAGATTTCGCTATAGGGTGCGTGCGCTCGCCAGACAGAGAGAGACATAGAGACAGAAAGCGAGAAATTACCTCCCAGAGGGGATGGCCATGCCGCAATCCCTTCTCCTCCATTCTCCTCTCAGGACCTTGGGCACGCACGCACACGCACTCGGCGTGAGTTTTAAGCCACTGGGTCTGGGACATGA